GTATTAAATTTATGTATTCTATTAGAGAGCGGGTGTCTCTCTCCCTCTCCCTCTCCACTCTCCTTTTTCCTGTAACCTCTCGTATCTCTTTTCCTCTATCTCTTCGTTCTGCTGTAGCGTCGAACGTTGTATGTACTAGTACTTTGTGATCACGTGTGCACGTGCGGCCCGCGCACTGTGGGTGTGTGTGAAACGCGACCCCTCCTCGCCATGACGGGCAAGCGTGCGATGCGGCTGGTCGCGCTGGTCGCGCTGGTGGCGCTGGTCGCGCTGGTCGCCCACACCGGTCGGACTGTAGGGATCACGACGACGCGTTGCTCATCGGCTGACAAAGGTGCAAAGTACAGGAGGGCCGCGTCAAGGGTATGCAGGACGCTGACGCAGAGGAAGGAAGCTGCCGACCAATCAGGAGCGCGCATGGCCTAATCTATCGCGCACTTCAGTTGACGCAAACCGGATTCAAAGAATAACAGAGAATGCTTCTTAAACCCTTTCCTCCTTGGAGCTGATTGCCTGCTGATTCTCGGACTTCACACTTGCAGGCGCGGTATATAAAAAGTGGGGGGATAGCCCCCTCCCCCCCCCAAATTGTCTCTAGTGAGCCGCCTGAGAGGTAGACAATTTTTGCCACACAATCTCTGTAAGTAGGCAACCCACGGTGACCCCCCCCCCCCCAAGTTAGCACGAGCAGCAACGAACGGGAGGCCGACGGCAGGACGAGCAGAAAACAAATCCAGTCTCGGTGCGAAAATTTCCGCTTCTCGCCAGCAGATGTAGTATATATAAGTGGCCGGCGGGCCGCGTCCCGTCTGTAACGTCGCCTCGGAGGAAAGGAAATGATGATAAATGGAGGAGGGGGAAGGGGGGGGGGGACACGTGCCAAACTGATGAAACGGTCTAAGTCGGGCCTCGCTCGCGGTACCGTCACCTGGCCAGGCCAGGCTCTAGAGCACGCGAGGGCGAGGGCCATCTCTAGAGCGCAAAGGTGGCTGACCAAGAGCGCTAGACTAGATTACAGATCGTGCCACACGCCTCCTCCTTTTGTGTGAGACGCCCCCCCCCCCTCTTGAGATGAAGCGTCATCATGTTCCCTCGTTTTTACCGCCTTATTTCTAAATTTTTCTTAATAACATTGAGGAATGAACGAGGGCTTTCCCGGGGCGGCGGGTGAGGTGAGGCTCTAGTGCCTGCCCCATCCAAAGATAATATATCCTAATTATCATGTTTAAATCACAAAAGAGCGCGCTTATAACTGATTGTACTAATGAAAGGGGTGCACATTCTTAAGAAGACGATGAGTATAGAACAAAATAAAAATTCTATAGTACTTTAACTACCCCTGAATTTGTAAAACAACGGAAAATTGTTGTCACATTTTAGTGCTGTCAGCAACAAGATGCTTGGTACATATTGAAGTTGACAATAGAAAGGGAGAATGAGCTAGGATGGAAGTACAGGGGTACAGGGCCAATACACTAACAGGAAAAATGTTTTATCAGGATGCCAATCACAGCACTCATGCTATGAGTCACAGAGTGTGTGATGTATAGAGGCATGACTACAATGCAGTCAATTGAGGAACTACCCTACAATCTCAACAAAGTCCCCTTAAAGTGATATTATATAATGACGGAAACTGACCAGGAATATTATATGGTCTTCTTAGTAAAGTCACAAGTCCAACTGCAGCAAAAATCTCAGGAATGAAACTCATGTCAAAAATAACATTATAACAAAGAAAAATGGAAGATTATTTGTCCACCATCAAATTATCAAATTGTTGTCACTGTTAGAAGCAAGTTTACTATTTGATCAAAAAGACAACATCAACAGTAAATAGAGGAAAGGAGCAGTTGTTTTGAAATACCTAGAGGGAGACTACCAGCAGTAAACAATAGATATTGTTTAACATTAAAAATTTCTGATAAAAAATGAAAACAAAATTCTTGGGGTTCTTGATGAAACAGGCTTAGTTAACATTACAAGCTAGAGTAAATGTCTATCATCTTTTTCGAAGGATTGTCTGAGCTGATTGCACAAAGTTACCTGACCATGTCAACTAATTATCAACACATACAAACCCTACGAGATATGTGAATAAATTCAAGGGTATAAGGTCCCAACACATTTAACATTAAAATTCAAGGTGACAGATAGTAAGCTAGGTGAAAACTGGATGACAAAGGTAAATGTAATAAATTTATACCCCAATTTTGTGTAAAAATCCTTCTCTTTTTCTGATTGTATCTACCATAGGTATTGCACCAGTTTTTTTACAACACTGCAGAAAAAGGCAATGGTACATAAAACCCTCAACCAAGACAAGAAAAATTATTAACATGCGATCCATCAATTTTTCAAGATAAATGGGCAATAAATCCTTGGTTATTTTGACAAGCAAAGTTGAGCCTTGGAAGTGTCCTTTGTGTTCTACTCACCCCATAAACCAGTCCACCGTGTCGCGCAGGTATTCTGGTAGCCTATCCAGCTTGAATGATTTCTAGAAATTTTCACCACGATGAATTGTTGTTTTAAATAAATACAGATCTGCTATTCACGCAGTAACACAAAAAATCTGACATGGCGTCTCGTTTCTGAAAATATCTGTAGCACGGCCTTCTGGATGGAAGTAACACTTGCTGAAATCCCAGCTGAGATCTCCAATTTCAAGTCCTCGCAAAGATTCCGATGGTTACCCAATGTATCACTGCGGAAAGGCGAATCATACACGGCGGGCACAATTAATTTGTAAACACTAGGACCCCCCGCAGTGTCCTCCGGTCTCCGCGAATGCCAAGAACAACCGTTCACTTGCGCTGACTTGCTCGGTTGCAGCTCCTTGGTTGCGCAGTAAGGTTATGGTTGCAGCAGTAGCTTAGAGGACGCGTACGCCGATAGAGAGCGCTGGCCGCGGTCAGCTGAGAAAGGCGCTATTCGCAGAACACGTATCCGCCTGCACGGAAGTAGTATTTCGTTATATGCAGCAAGAGAAACATGTTTGGAACTTCCCCCGCCCCTCCTTTCTTACGCGACTAAGTAACCGTTTCCCAAAGACAGTATCCCAACGATAAGGGGAAGGAAGGGATTCATTCTTATTATTCTTATTTTTTATTATTATTTAATTTTGGACATTTCTCATCAAAGTGCACGATTCCTCCCTCCAGACCAGGCTGGTCGCTTTTGTTTTTGTTCGTCTGCTGGTGGAATTTGAAATCAGATTCTAGACCCGTTCACCTGATCAAAGGTGTTTCAGTTTCTAATTCTAAACTAAATTATGGCACCTGGTCGCAAGAAGTGTGTAATACGGGCGTGCCCCCATCATCACTTTTCACTTGACAAAATTGCTGGTACCCCAATCAGGCCGCTTTCGTGAGTATTTCGCCCATAAGGTTATAAAGTGTACAAACTTCTTCTGTTGTTTGAAGTGTCTGCTCTAAATTCCAGAGGTGTTTTTGAATTGCCTTCTTGGTTCTGTAAACACTAGATTCAGTTTCTGGTTCTTTTACAGATTTCCAAACAGCAAATTTAAAAGGATGCAGTGGTTGGAGTTTGTTTATAAGTTTAATCTGACTATTTTGGAACCTACCAAGCAAGACTTCCTTTGTTCTGCTCACTTTACTCCTGATTCATTCATCAATGACAAGTTGAAGGCTTCTGCTGTACCAACAATTGATCCTGAGTAAGTATCTCGACAGCATGGTGTATAATTTTTTGTTAGTAAAATAATACATGAACATGTATCTTTCAAACTTCAATTGCTTTTCTCGTGGGGTTTCCTTTCCTACAGATCTGTACGAAAACTAGCTATAGAGAATGGTGATATGAGACCAGTTGTTCTGGATACAAGAGTAACAATAAAGAATGGTGAAGTTCTTGATTCTCCATCAGTTGTATACTTGCAAGAAATGAAAGAAGTACATAATCAAGATGTATCTGACAGGTATGCTCTCAGTGATTTTTATTTTTAAGTTTGGTTTTGTCATCAATTTTAGCTCTTTAAAGAGGCTCCAATCAGGATATCAGCACTCATCATTTACAGATGTAACAACCTCAATTGCTATAGCTAACCCAATCAATTAATCCTCTCTCCTTGTTTCAGTTATTCTAATCCTATGTGTAAAAGAAGACGCATTGGGGACCTGTGTGCCACTGATTTCACCACCCAAAAAGGCATCAAAATTGCTTTGCAGCTTGTAAATAGCACACTTAAAGTCTGGAGTGGAACTGGAGTAGTTACTCGAGGGCCTGGAAACTCCAAAGTAGCGGGTGGAAAGGAAGTAGAAGTAGTAGAGAAATGTGAAGGAGATTGTTATGCTCAATGTGAAGTTCAAGAGAATGCAGAAAATTTTGACAGTCCCTCCCCTGTGTACATTTCTGATTCTGATTAATGTTTAATATGTATGTTTTCCTTAACTAAAATTAATGCCATTGAGAATAAAATATATTAAAAGTCTTTTGAGTACTTTGTAACACTTTATTGACCCTTAAGTATTTCACAGATGATTTTACCATAATTTAGGCTAAAATTTCAGTCACCCAAAAATGAGAGAAATCAAATTAAAGATTCAAAGCATATTGAATTTTGCAGATCACAGTGGCAGTGTAAACAGAGATCAGGAGGATTAAGAGATTAGGGTATGGACCGAAAACAATCCCGAGAGGGACATCTTTGGTCTTTAAGCATCATAAGTTAAAAAAAACAAAAACAAATTGAACCCAATCAACAGTGAATGGTACAATCTCATTCTTCCTGACCTCAAATATTGCAGATCAAAAATCAATGTGACCTAAAATTAGGACGCTGTTTAATTTATTGCTGCTTAGTACCAAACCCCTCCTACACACAGTGGCCTGAGTGCAGGGGAGAGCCAAAATGAATGCCAAGAACCACAATCGTTTCGTAGTTCTGCAATCATACCGCAGTCTAATGGCTTGGAAAAGTGAACAAAGTACAACTTTAAAGTAGTAAAAATCTTTTTCATTTTATCACCTTTTAATCTACAATGTAAAAGATTTCTACAGTTAATTTAAATTAGTTTAAATCTGAAATTTATGTGCCAGCAACATTGCAGAATGATAGCATGCTGTGTTCTACATCTAATGATTGAAGAAATATGCAAGCAGGTAACAACTTCACTCTCTTACTTGTATTTTAAGACAAAATTTTCAATGGTTTTAGAGTTTCAGAAAAATAGTTGTGAACTACGAAAATTATAAAACATTACATTCAACACTTATGTCTGTAGCAACAAAATAATTAAGAATCAAGAAGCTAAAATTAAAATTGATGTAATGACAGTTCTTACTAGTGTGTCTCTGAACCAATACAAATCTAAGTGTAAGGTCTCCTCCAGTACACCAAGGATGGATCTAACAGTTTTCAATAAAGTTGGAGGGTGCAACCCAAAACTCTTAACAGTAACAATAAAAATTATGTTCCTGTTGCAAATCTGCAATTCAGAATACAGCACCACACAAGTCCAAAATAACAAATACAGTATCACAACAAACACCACTGATCAGGAAAGGTTATCTTGCCAACAAGCAATTTTAAGAACTTGAGTGCAGAGTACTTAAGTAAAATTTATACATGTATGTAGTAAAAAATATAGCAATAGTTGAACAGTAAAGGATTCTACGCTCCTCAGAACCCAATGCAGTAGATAAATTACTGCAATGGAAACTATTGAACAAATTCACACACATAGCTCTCAGTGTTCTTAGCCATCACTTCACACTATCGCTGTGGCTGATGTGTCTCCAGGAAAGCTCCCATCTATCAAAGGATCCAAAATCCAAACAAATGCATATTAAGTACTCTAAAGAGCTGCAACATCTTACACACAAGGTGTGTGGTTTTATTTACTGGGCAAAGAGGAAGCACCAACAATCAGAATCACGCCCAATAGTTAACGAATATATTTATGAAATCAGATAAATTTTAACACTATTAAGGTATAACGGTCTGCATCAAAACATTGGCTAGTACGCAAAATATGCCAGACTTCTACACCTTAAGACAAAAGTTAACGTGGAAATGTTGAAAGAAGGAACAAACATAAAAGAAAGGAGGTTTCAGAGTTATATACATGTAATAAAATCTATATACAACACATTCATGACATCAACTAGATGTGACACTACAATTAAGATACCATATTTGTTTTCAAAAAAGGTGGTTAAGAGCTAGCAGAAGTTTGCTAAATCTTACATTCAAGGAGTAATGTTAATCAGCCAAACAAAAGAGGGATACTTTGATTAGGAGTATGAAATATGAATAACAATGAAGTGCTTAACTTTAATAGCCATTGACTATATTGAAACAAATGTTTAATCAAATACAAACATGTTTTCCATTAAAAAATAAATCACAAAAGCAAGGTCTTACCTACACTAGTTATTGACACTGCCTGAAATGAAAAATTAAAGAAAATTAAAAAAAAGAAAACAAAAAATGGCAGTGAAACCAATAATACAAAGACCCTGATTGGTCGAACAGGATAAATACCCTGTCTGGACACCAATGGTTTCAACTCAAAATCATATCAAATTACGTAATTAACTGCTGCAATAGCTTGAGGCAAAACTAACAAGTACTACTATGTGTCCAATTGTCTGTCACACACTCTGTTGTGTATCTCAGTATTACAGTCAAGATCAATAATAGTCCCTGTGCTCATAAAATAAAACATTCCTGTAAGTGACAGCGATAATATTGATGAACTTTTGACACTTGAAAAAATAAAACTTCTCAGAACCACAGAAAGATTATGATTCACAGGGCTTCTACTTTTCATGAGATGTACCAATGATTGTTATGAAGTACTGCTCCATTTACTGCATCTGACAACCACAGTAAACAATAAACAACATCTTCCATAAAATGCCACACAAACAATAAAATTCTCCTAGTTTCATGTCTTTGGAATTCTAAATGAATGAAATATAAAACTACTTCTCTGGTTCTGATTTAAGTTTCCATGATTGTTCTTAGAATAAAAATCCTTCTATCTTTTCACTTGCGTTGCCTCACATCCTTGCCGTGGTCTGGAGTGTTTTTCCTGCAAAGAAATATGGTATGAATGCAATCAGTTCTGTTAAAAAGTTCTGATGGTACAATGAAAAGGGCTCACTTCTAGGAGTGGGGACTGGGGTTGGCAGGTGGAGAGATCAAGTGTGAGGTACAGTCAAAACCATGAGTCAGTCTGTATACCAACAGTAGATAGTGATGGACAAGCTTGGATTCCAATACTGCGGCTTTGTAAGGGAATAAGACTTTCAATACCCATCAAGGTAAATGAATTTAGTTACTCAAAGACAGAAGTACCTTGTAGTGGTGGATTTTATAGGGATTGGGGATGATTTGGGTTGATTGCCTATCCTTGATCGGACTTGTTTGGAAGGACTGGGTAAAGTTTTAGTAATGGTCCTGTAGCGAGCTTCTGAATTTGTCAATCTCCCTTTTATACTATCAGCCTGTGAAGGCACACGTCCTTTGGCAGCATCAGGCCTTGCAGATGTCCCCTTTTTCTCAGGCTCTGGCTTCAAAGGTATTAAAATCCAATCTTCCTTCTCCCCTTGATCTTTTTCATGGCCCCCATGTTTGTGCCAAAATTTAAGATTTAGTACGTTATAAGGAACTGGGTCCAGCATCCAGACAGAGTAGTAAAGTGATGAATACTTACTGCTCGGGACTTTGATCAGTGTCACTCTCATCCAACTCTGACTTGTTGCGCTTCTTTTCATAGATGAGAATGATAGTGCAAAGAACAGCCACTTCAGCACAAATTCCCAAGAATGGCCAAAGAGCAGCGAGCTTGTCTGCAATCAAAAATTACATAATTACAATTATGTGAATTCAGCACACTTTTTTTACCCCTCTTTTAAAAGTGTGAACTATACCTTTAACTCGGACAAATGTTTTCTCTTCTACTCCGGTTGAGTCCTGGTTGGCTATGTTCGATGCCTTGCAGGTGTATGTTTTTCTGTCACTCAATTGCACGTTGTCAATGATAAGGAAAGCTCTAGCAACTTTTCCATCATTTTCAAACCTGATACGGGCATCAGATTCATTCACAGGCATGCCATCTGAAATAAAAAATGATGCAGGAAATTGACAAAGAAAACAGAATATAGTGAGACATTAAAAATAATTTCTTATTATAATTTTCATTCTAGTCCGATACTAATAGTGATGCTTTATGTATACAGCCTCTTTATCTAGCATAGGTTCTTGTTATGTGAAAATAGAAACTATTAAAAAAGTAATGTTTGTATACTAACCAACGCTCCATACAACACTAGGTGTTGGGTAGCCTTTTACTTGGCAGTGCAGCTTGAGCCTTTCACCCTCAACAACAGGTGTGTCACCAGGCAAAGTGATTTTAGGGAAACCTGCAAAACCAATGAGACTAAAGTTAAAAAAACAGGCCAAGCAATTTCAAATCAGATTTAAAATTAGAATTCATTGGCTTACCAATAACCTGGATGACAGCCCTCATGACACTTTCAGTGCTATTGGTCTTGGCATTCACCGCTTGGCATGTGTAGTTTCCAACATCATCATCACTTGCATAATAAACCATTAGTGTGTTCTCTTCTGGTTTAAAGATATATTTATTAGCAGTAGGCTCAATAACTTTGTCTTCCTTGTACCTGCAAAATGACAAAATATTCAACTGACTGCACAAGAAATAGTTACTGGTGAAGAATGCTAAAAGCAGAAACATCTGTTCAAAGATCTTACCATCTCAAAACAAACTGACCGCCTGGGGTACCAGTGACATTGCACTGCAGTGCAAATGCAGTATCATATTTGAAAACCTTGTAAGGTTCAAAGTCCCAGTTCGGCTTCACTGAATTGGCTGGAACAAAAATTAACCTTATCAAGCTGACAACTTTTTGAGATTGGTGGTGCAACAAACCCAATATACAAATCCTAATTTAATTATTTTGTAATAAAGACTACCTGCCAAATCAAAACCAATCAAAAGAACTAAAATAATAATAATGAAAAAGCAAATATGTTACACTGACAGGTCTAACATTCTTAGGACTGTTTCTTGAATGGACTGCACCGAATGCAGGCTACCCTACCATCGCTCACCATGGCACATTTTGGCTTATGACCTCCAGGGAATAGGTAACCTGCCCAGCAGAGCAGTACTGCAAGCGGTAAAGTGCGTCTAAAAAAATAGTATCCTACACAGTGTACATTGATTGCTTTGTAGCTGCCACACTATTTACAGAAGTTAGCTTATTTAATCAACAACACTAAAAGAAAAACAAATAGATGAGAGTAAAAAAAAAAGGATGATTTCATGTAATTTGGCCTGGAAAAACAATCCTCCCAGATGTGTCAGAACAACTTAGTGCAAACAGCAAACACTGCAAATACTTATAACAGGAGTCTACCAGTATAAGTTGACAAACCACACTGGAAACAAAGCTAGTTAGTTAAAACTTTACAGCTGATGAGCAGTTCCAAAGGGAATAAAAGCAACACCAAACAAATGGGATGTCAACTAGAGATGTCCACCTTACCACTTAACACGTAAACCTGATGGGTGACATTGGAAAATGACGTGCAGCGATAGCTACCAGTATGGGAATGTTGAGCTTGTAAAACTGAGAGTTTTGCAACAACTTTCCCGTTAATTTTTTCCTCTTCCAATTTATATTGATTTTCAGAGTCAGGGTTGATTGTTTGTTCATTCAGTTGCCATTTAATTACATCATAGACAGTTAAGTGACATGTGATAGTAAACGGGTCACCTTCAACAACAACTTTGTTGCCTTCATAGACAACTTGTTGCCCGTCGCCTGAATGAGACAGAATGAGTCAATTTGTTGTGTGGAACAGTAAGGAAGCTGATACAAGTTCATGTTGGGCTCCTTTCATGGTAAGATCAAGTAGGCAGCTAATAAATTTGACCTCCTTCATTGGCTATGATTGCCTTTCTTCGAGCCCAAAGTACCGGAAGTTGTCTTTGCATCTGTTCCAGGTGAATTTACGATCTCGACTCTAAAGCGTAGCTCTAACGCTAGCGTTGAAACAATTCTAGGGCGGTCCTCTTCCACGCCCCCTCATCCTGTTCTGGTAGCTTTCCAAAGGTAAATTCAACGCTGGCGTTGTAAAAGATATGCTGTCTGCCTTGCGATCGGAAATCCTCCTAAACACATTCACCCCCAGACTGTCTTGAAATGTATCATTCAGTTCGGATGCACTGCATGTGGGCACAATTTGTTGCACAGCAGCACCATGTCATGTGGGCTCGTCCAGAAAGTACGCCAATTTTTTCGGGTTTATTAGACAAATTACGGGATCTTGGCGCCTGCAAGACTCAGGGTAGGCCACCCCACGGTACTCGCGTGCACTGCAGGCAAGATGTTGCCTACCCATAAGGCGCTATGAGAGCTTGCAGGCTTCGCAGGTTCCAAACGGAGAATGACGGGCGTGCTTTTGGGATGGTCCCCAAGTTGACTTGTCACTCAATTTCAATAGCTTGCCCGAACATTGCACTCTACGAGAGGGAGAAAAAAAATCTAGAAAGATCATGGACTAAAAAAATTAATTAAACTCTCCAACCGGCCGGTGAAGAGACAGCTCAGCTTTGATGGATCTAATTTATCACCGCACCGACATGAGGGAACACTTCAAATCAGCCCTTCCCTCATTCCTTCTCCATCTCCGGAGCGACGGCGTGGCGTGGCGCGAGCACACAACGTTAAGTGGCACCAGAGATATGACAGAACTGTCCCGTCCCATCCAAACAAACGGGGAGACCCCCCCCCCCCTCCCATTTTAGTTGAGTCGTCACTCCTACACTGCCAGACTTATCTGAACGTCTAAAATAAATCAAACACAGACAAGCCTATGGACAATTACTTGCTGGAATTAGGCAAGACAACCTGGCAAGATGCACAGACCGTTAACCCCGCCCACGAATAAAAAAAACGACTTTCCAGCTCTAGTAAGTAGACGGGCATTCCAAATGCCGACGTACATTTTACAGTGCAGCGACCACTCAAAAGCGGGGCAACAGAAGAGTGTGCATAAGCCCGGTCCGGCATCGGGATCACCGTATCACAACGGCGGCACGATACCCGCAGCGGGCTATCTCGGGCAACCTACTGCCCCTCCTTAATAAGTTGCACCTCGTCCAACCTCAGCCACGTGTGAAGACACGGGACGTGACTCTACACAGAAACAGCTTTTATTTAAGGCTCGGCAACAACTATGCCTTTCTGTAATCTCTACGGGGGCAGCATGCAGCTCCGAGGGGTAGAGACAAGTCTGCCGTGACGAGGGGTAGGGCGGCGCGAGTGCGTCACACCGTCACACCGTCACACGCACCAGCTGCCCACGCGCCGGCGCCTTGGGGCCCAGCAGCAGAGTTGGGCGGCAGCCAAGGGCTTCCTGTCTGGGGGAAAGGGGGGGAGGTGCGGGGCTCACGTCTCAGACAGTCCGATCGATATTCGAACGAGAAATGGACACCTAATGGACACCCCCATACAGTTGCCCCATCACCCTCTTTTCTTACCACTCAGGACTGGATGACCCCCCGCCCCCAACCCATGGCGAATGGGTAAAGTACCCCCGACCCGCCGCCGTTCGCCGGTGGCGACCATAGCGCCCGCATGCACTCGGGCCGATCAATAAATATAGTCCTTCCCTGCTCCCACAGGGCCGTGCCGCGCTGGGGTTAGCCGGCCCGGGGTAGGGAAGGGATGCACAGCCGCACAGCCCCCCTCCCCCCAGCCTTAAACAGCCGGCCAGGGCCAGGGGTCCTCGGGCGGGAGGGGAGGCCGGCGGCCTGGCGCTATTCTGGCGAGAACTGGATCAAACACGGGGGGCGAGGCGGGGAGGGCCGAGGTGGGGCGGTGGTGGTGGTGAGAGGGGGAGAGAGAGACTCATCGCTCTCCCAGACTACCGCACAACTATCCTCACCCCCACACAAACACACACCCCCCCCCCTACACACACACACACACCACACCGCCTCCGGGGTATGACTTGAATGACGCAAGTCAATGTCCGAGTGCAGGCATGCAAGTCTAAAGCATGCAGGTTGTTAGGCCATTTGGTCACCACGGGGGTGCGCCAGTGCGCGACAAGCGCAGTTGTGAGGGCCCACACAAAACCGTCGCTTTTTAACCACCCGTTTGTCGATCAGACATTAACAGGCACAGTTAAGGGGCGACAAGTGCGAGACTTTGTGGAGGGAGTTGGGGAGGGGCGGCTCGTGGCAAATTAGGAGCCTGTTGCGGCAGCTTGAGAGGCCCTCCCGGGGGCCTAAAGCGCAGTGCCATGCACGCTCCGCCACGCTCCGTCCACGCTCCGCCACGCTCAGCCACGCGCGGCCGCGGATGCCGTGCTGCACGCCGGAGCGGCCCCACACCCCGCCCCGTCCACGCTAACGAACAACTTCTGTTATCGGAGCTGGCAGCGGCGGTCATCATTTTTGCGTTGACGCGAGACTCGCCGGAAAAAGGGGGGGGGGGGAGTGCATGCTTGCAAGAAAAAAAGGTGAAGAAAAAAAAAGACTCTTTTCTCGTTTAGAATCGCATGGGGAATGACCATATAATTGTTCATGGATTATATTTTTGGTACCCAATCAAGGCAACAGGCACAGGCAGGCGGTGTCCAAGATTTGAAAATTGATACGACCAATTTCCTTTGAATGGAGTTAAAAGTACTACAAACACCCATAATGACAAGCCCTATTATTACTTTACCCATAAAAGAAATAAGTGCAAATTCTATTTGAAAGCAAGCTTTAGTCATAGTACATAAAAGAAAAGTTGTTTAGAACAATCTGCAATTAAAAATAGGAAATCCTAAAAATGTCTGCCCATTCATCAAAACTAAATAATGTAATAAATAAAAATGTATGCTATACCCACAATTATAAAAATCTAAATATCAATGCCAGCACAGAGTAGGGCTCACAATCAATTTACTACACATGACACAGAATGCTTCAACACATTTAAAATGCTGAAAAGTTTAAACATTGCAAATGAAAGAAATGCATAAAAAGCTATAACCCACACACCCACACAACTAGGCAACACAGAACTTTAAGCTCAATGCAGGTAGCACAAATATGCAATGCTTGTTATGATGAGCTATACACGGCTATACACCACAAGAAGGGACAGGGCCCATAATGATTGGAATAAACCATTCCTGTAAAGCTGAAATGCATAAGAATGCGAGGAACAAGGAAATGGGAGTTACCATCTTACAGAAGAGGGAATTCTGTTTTGTTTTTCCCCACATACGTCTTCTTTTCAGCTTCACTGGAATGTTTTATTAACATATCACCCACTATTAATCCAAAATCAAATTGACAGGCGATGAAAGTCAAGGTTATGTTTTCTTACTAATGGTCCATTGAATTTATTGATTATCTGCAGGTGTCACACCAGTGGCCTCGGCGCCCAACAAACTGACAGCCTCGACATACAAATCTGTATGTAAGCAATACGACTGATCCGTTAAATAATGAAATCGTGCCACTTTCTCGCTCGATCGTTTCAAAACTATTTTTACACCGTACAATCAAGGCGCTGAGGAAACGTCGTGTTTGACAAGACTAACACTTGGTAAAGGATGTTTGACTCACCTGCGCGTATCGATAGAATACATCCTAGGACAATGAAAATTCCTAGGGCATGTGTAGGAAGTCTCAGGAAACGCAATGAATCCATTTTCCAAGAGCAAAAAGTTCCTTCAAACCAGGACAAGGTCTCGCCAGGCACCGTCCCCTGCTGACTGCTGGGGATCTCGGCAGTTGTCTCCGAATATCAGCTGGACAGAACCATCAGTGAGTCAGCACCGCAAACCAAGAAACCCACAGAACAGTACTGGACCGAGCAGACATACACGTACTTCGCAATGCTATAAAAATACAGATTCGATAAAATCAACTTCAGAGCCCATCCAAAATGGCGAACTAGCAGAACTGCATGGCCTTTGAAACGAACTGACAGCTAGACGGCAAAGGCTCGTCCGCTCCTCTCGTTCTTCTCTCCTGGATGGACTTTGGATGTGTGGCAGGGCGAGTTTTCTTTGTCTTGGATTTTAGTTTGTTTACACGGGTGCCTGCCGACGAGTGAAAGGCTTACTTTAAACATTTACTTTGGAAATAAGATAGTATCATTGTCGATCAGAGTACAATTACACTCGGAGTGAAAGTCTTGGGTTGGGGGGGATCTCCAAGGTGTTGATCGGGGTATCAAGAGGGCCGTTGAAAACCCAGCTTTGTATATTTTTCTTTGCCTTGGCAATTTTTTTTCTTGATACAGATGGGACATCTTTGAGAAAATATCAGTGTTTTTGATGGTGGTATTATGAATGAGTTAAAAACAATTCTAACATCTACGTGACGTGCGTTTTATGGAACAGGTACGTTATTTGTATGATCCCAAGATCAGAAAGCAGACGACGTTTCATCAAACACTCACTTGACAAATCTAGCTTTTCTTCGAAAACTACTGTAACACAACAAAGAAATGTCTCATCGTGCTTTTCGAATGAGGTTGAACTTTAATACACATGTGAACAGTCAACTTGCTACGGTGGCTATGGTTAGCTCTCAAGGATATGATTTTTCTCAAGTGGTAGGGAATGCAGATGGTAAAAGAACCTACATTGAAATTTGTCTCGTGATTTTGTTTAGATGCAAGGTTTTAGACTCACTATTTTCTTCACCTTCCCCAATTCACTGATTCACCAATCAAAGATAAACATCCTTTCAAACAAAACTGAATGACCAACAGGCTGTGACTGACAGCACTCCACATTGCAAAACACCTAATTTGTCCTTGTATCATTTCTTAGAGTGTTCATTCAAACTTCATTTACTGGAGTTTTTATTGTAGGTTGGGCCTCTGTGACAATGGCTGATAGTTCGGTTTCAGCTGAAGCTATGGTGCGGACATCCTCCAGTTCCGATCCATTTTGCAAAAGAATTCTCTATGAAGAAATAGCCTTTTCGAGGTCAGAGAACTCTACTGTTTTACATGTGAAAAGTTTTTATGTGTTGAAAGGGAGCTAACTGTCGTTCTGTCATTTTTTTCTTCATTTAGGGTTCGTATTTGGGATCTTGCAATATTAATACCAAATGTTCTGTTTCTTGTATTCCTTGGTATTCGATTTAATAGAGCCATTCTCAAGCTTAGAGCAACCTCTAGCCCTATTTTTCTGACATTCTATGGTTTGGTAAGCACATTTTTTTTTGATAAAACTATCCTGTTACAGTATATTATTAAGTGCTCTCTCTGAACAGTTTGTATTTATTTCTCTAGGTTATTGCGAACATTGTCATCAGTGTAATCAGATGCTGTGTGTCAATGACTGTAAATGCGGCTACAGTAAGTGGAGAGTATGCTGATAAAATACTTTGGATTTCTGTGCGATTCTTTCTTCTGGCTACTGAAATGAGTGTAGTGGTCTTTGGACTAGCATTTGGTAACTGTTTCTTTCTATAACTTTTTTTAATCAATTTATCTTAAAAGTTCCACTATTTCTAATACTTAAATTCCTTATTGCAGGTCATCTTGACAGTCGTAGCAGTATCCGCCATGTATTACTAGTTACTTCCTTTATTTCGTTAGGATTTTCCATCTCTCAAGCTGTTCTTGAAATGATGTCACCTGATGAGCATTTCCATGTTGATTCAAAAGATTATAACCTTTTTGGTCATGGGGGCATGTTGTTCTGGTTTGCCAGTTCAATTGTGTTCACATTTGTACGTTCAAGAACATGAAATTAAGATCACTTTATCGTGTTCTTTATTAGATGCGTAATATTCCTTGTGTTTCCTATTTCAGATCTACATGTGCATTTTAATTCTACCCTGGACTAAACTTCGGGATCGACTAGCATTGCCCAGTATGTATTCAAAAGTCACATTAGAGTCAGATTTAATGTTAATAGACTTTATAGTTAACTCAATGTTTATTTTCCAGCGAAGCGCTCCTTCTATACCTACATCTTTTTGCTTTGTTTACTGAATGGCATGCAGTCATTGGGCTCGGGATTATTATTGTATGAGTTATATGCTGGTTTGTGTATTGTGGATGTTACAACATATGCATATTTTACTCTTCTGACACCACTTGTGTACTATGCATTTTTGAGTGAATTTTTTGGGTAAGACTTCTTTTTTTATAGGCTTATAGAAAACAATCGAAGTTACAGGATACTTATTGGTACTATTATTTTGGATTTTGTTTTGTTTTATTTCAGAGTTTCCCAACCAAGTATTATGTTTTCATACAAAGCTCAAGTTGATGACCATATGGAAGACGATACTGTCTCTTTACCTCATCAACAAAGTTTCTCATCTTTAAAAACAGACTCAGATTACATATACCAAGTAAGTTGAATCAAGTGTTTTATTTGTCTGTCTTCCTCACTATCTTTCTGTATAATAAATTTGTTTGTTTCCAGAACAATAGTGTATACAACAGTACCCAACTTGATGCTAATACTCCTATTAACCCTTTGTATGCTGCATCCTTACAAAGCCCTGATTCCATAACTGGTTACAGCATCGATAGTTGTCAAAGTTTAGATGTTGGGCCAATATCTTCAGGATATCAACGAACAAATATGTAGAGTACATTTTATTGAGTTGCAGGGATGCTTTCAGCTCATTCTAAGACTTGGAAAGGGGTTTAAGATTTTATATAGTCTGTGGCCAAGTAGCTGAAGATTCTCAGAGAATCATTAGGAAGTGGCCCAAAGGCGCTCAGCAAATGACTCTGAGCTCTGTGCTTGATGTCATGTCTAGTCTCAACCTTAACTTTTGTTAAGAGTTCAAAAAAAAAAAAAAAAAATTAAAAAAAGATTCTCCTTTAGGCTTTCCAGCAGGTACACAGGCATAGTGAAAGGTATTGTTAACCCTTTTGATTTTTCTATGAAGGCATTGGTGTAACAATATTAATTTTTTGAAGAGGTGATTTAGAGCAACAATACGAAATTGTACTGTAGACTTTGGTCTGTTGTACATGGCATATAATGTCTTAACTCACTAATAGAAAGCTTGCTGTGATCTCTTTTCTGAGATGTGTGATATGTTGTAAATGATCTGTGTGTTTTAAGTAGTTCATAATGGAGTCTTGTACATTGTTACCTGAAGTTTGTCTTATTTTTGTGCAGAAAGATATATTTCATCTTTTTAAATTCTATTTTTTTTTTTTCACCAAAATTTGTGAAGTATCCTTACTAGAAATGGATTACAAAATGACTTTGAAACGATTTTGCAGTTGTCATCCCCAGTGTTGTCTTGATGTCAGAGCGACTCTTACAATGTTATTTCGGCATCTCAACAGTATGTTCAAACTGTAATTTATCACTAGGCCTCTATGGATTGACATTAAATACCCTCAGCTGCACAATGTCGTCTTTGAAGGGTTAACAACCTGACATACTCTTTTCGATATTTTCCTGCTTTAATTGAAACTAAAAAAAGATGGCAACACTCATGACAAAGATTTTGGTCTGTTAAACTGGCTTTTGTCCTAAAACTTAAACAAAAACCTCCCTTAGCTAATTTATATATATATATTGATATTGATTGGGCATTTCTGTAAGACTGGAATTTTTACTGGGATTTATGCTCCTTATACATAATATAGGATTGTAGATGATTACTACTGTGTATTTCTTTTCTAAAAGCCTGTCATCTTTCTTTTTTTGTTAAGCTTGCTACATAAACAATTTTTGTTTTATTTTCCATTGAGATTGTTTCATGTCATTAGAATTACTTACTTTCCCTAAAATTTATCACTTTTGAACTGCTTTAATATAGTGGTTTTATTGTTCTGTTTTTTTAACACCACTATTAAGTTAATTAATTCTTTTACCATAGATTAGTAGGTACAGTTTTATTTACTGCTATAGTTCTAGGTTTACCATTTAAGTGGTGACTGGTTGTTTGGATTTTTGCACCCTGGAGCTCAAGGTATCTAAGCACCACAGTCCTGGATTGACATAGCATAAAGAAACCTGCAGTCGGAGTGAAGGTCTTATTGGAGTCCTGTATATGTAATTTGAACATTGTTTTTTTCACAATTTTTCTAACTGCATTCCTCATTTAGTCCAGCAGTATTTTCTGTATCTACCGTAATCTTAAGTTGAAGTTGTGAAAAAGCTCCACCTATGTTGCATACGCACACTCAAATTGACATTTAAAAAAAAATTAATCTACATGGCTCAGGGGAGGAGTAGCAGGTCATGCTAACTCTTTTTTTTCAGAAAAGTACTTTTTTCAGATGGTTTTTTATTAGTTTACTTTCCTCACACAAATGGAAACGATTAGAGCTGTAGGTATAAATCTATTTTGGTGCTTTATTAGCATCATCTTCAAACTGAATGCTTCATGCTGTATTGCATCCAGCTGTACTGAATGTTTCAAATTATTTGAAGCTGCCTTTTGTAAGTCAATGTGAATCTGCACTGATTCCGTCCTTAGGTCCTAATGATGGATTTTTTGAGATTGACGGTTGCAGTGCTTTCTGAAACTCATAAATATAGTTCTTTGTAAACAGTCTCTAAGAATGAGGGGCCAAAATGTTCTACTGAAAGTATGACTTTAGTAATCATTTGCAATATGGTAAAAGACACCTTGTTCTTCTTGACTAATTAAAGTGCTTGCTATGTCATTTACTATATTAATTATAATTAATCTATTCTGTAAATTTGAGTCAATTCTTGGCCACCTTCTCTTCACGCAAGTATTTAACCATTGTCCTGTAGTTAATAATCAAAAATAATCAAACTGAAATTTTAATTTTGCAACTACAATGCACTGACTGCATTCTTGATTATGTTTGAAGCTTTCAATTGTTTGCTACAATTCATCATTTGAATAAGCCTGACAGGTGACTGACATTCCTCTATATACAAGAACAGTAAATAAATATCTTGTTTATGAGTTACCGAAGTTATTTGTTAAATTTGGATCTTAGGCTCATATAAGTGTACCTTACAATTTTATGCATACCTATTTTAATCCTTATGACTGTTTTCCATTTTCCCAATTGCTGTTTGACTTAATGGTGAAGTCTTACTTTTTGTCTTTGAATTACTGTGATAATTACTGTCATTTCTACCAACTCATAGGGTTCCCTTCCTCTTCTTTCCCTGAACCTTTATATTTTAAAACATGCTGGTGCTTTTTGAGTTTTGATTATGAAAACATTGTGGAGGGAAAATGTAGTCTCTAGCTGGTATTTGCTGTTTGAAATGCATAGTTGCACTAGTAGGACTGAATCTTCCTAAAGTCAAAGTTCATTATGTTATCCTAGAAATTTTGATGTCATCTGGGGCCCAGCCTAAAAATAAAATTGTATCCTGCCTACTTAGTGTAATGTCACATTATTCCCAGAATTATTTGTATTCATTGAATACATGTAGATCACTCATATAAAAGTTTGCCCTATTTATGACAGGTGAACTTCTATTACAAGTACATATATATTTTTAAATAGCTCTAAGTACTTAATTGTAATGTTTTAAAATTCTGTGAAAGGCCGTATATGAAGAGGATTTGACAAGCTCTAAAGTTTAAAGTTACGCGTGTGAGCCATGTTACTACATACTTTCAATGTTTAATTGAGGAATAATTACCTTTTTTAAACACACTGTGATACCCTCTGAAGATTAACATTCTGCTTCCTCTAGACCCTTTGTATAAAGGCTAACAAACATTTCTTTTTATTCTGTCATTCAAAAATTTTGTGATATAATGTACTACATGCTCAACTGGTTGGAAAGAGAATTACTTTGTCTAGTGACTGTAATGCAGTATGGCTTTAGGATGTTTTTTGTATTTGGCCTTTCAACTCTTTATTTTTATAGGTACATCATCTTTGTATTGTATTGTGATATTTAATTTTAATTTTAGTTGCCCTTGCAGACAGCCCCTTTTCAGTCCAAAGTTTGTTCCTGATGGAACAATGGTAACTACTTACTCAGAAGGACAATGAATGAGCTACCTTGCTGGAAGAACATCACAAGGAGCCTCACAAACCTTGAGCTGTTGCTGTTGCACTCAAACAACAATTGCAATTGCACCCTGAAAACTGCATTTTCAAATTTTCAATGTTTGCATAATTTTTTTGAGCATTGAACTTGTTCTGTGTAAACTCTGCAAGATGTTCATGCATACAGCAGCAAAACTGATCAACAGTTAAAGGTTGGTTTAGCTCCTCATTAATGTTCTTGCTTAGGTTCCTCACACCAGCTCATTGTTCTTACTCACATTCCTGCACTGTGTTGTTCTATTTTGTGAAATAGAGAAATTCTACTCTTGCCTTATTGCCAAATATTTTCATCATGTTAAGTACCTACCATAATGTATTTACAGGAATCAGGTGTTTGAGCTGTTAAGCATTATGTATTTTACCTTTGGTCTAGCTTGTGCTTTAGAGTTATTTTTTGTTGTGATTTTTATTGCTAATTTACTTTTGGTGGAAACATTAAACACTCGTATTTATATGTTGTATCACATGTTCACCTCTTCTTCCAATGTTTGCACGATGATCAGCTCAAAAGATGACAAACTAATAATAGGCACTGAACACATTTATTTTCAAAATGGATTTACATTGAGGGTGATTTTTCAGAGAAAAAACACATGTAGCACATAAACCATGATACCACTTAAACTATGCAGAGGTAAAAAGAAACAGAACGACAGTACTTTGACACAGGTACAAGGAGTGATAATTAGTATGCAAATCCTTATGAAATCATAAAGGGTGAGAGAGTGGCACCATCAGTGGAAGAGATCATGATCTCATCTAAATTAAAATATCAACCCTTGCCATACCTTCTATTCGACTAGAGACATTTTAACTTAACATGCATTTCTTGTTTACACAGTAAAAAACAGGCTGAAAATATAGGAAAAGGATCTAAGTTTGAAGCCTTAGCTCTCCGTTTCTAAGACAAAGAACAAATAAAAGCTGAAATAGAAGTTGAATTTAACTGGACCCATTTAGTATACTATTAGATAGTTTAACCCTCAATTAGAGTATTATGAAAATTGGACTAAATACTCCACAAAACACTGCAAAATATCAAAAAAATTCTGCTGTATCTTCCAATAAGTTAACAACTGTTGCTTATCATCGATGTCTTGAAATAAGAGGATGAAAGTAATGAAGAAAAGATATGGAATGAAGACCTCTTGAGATATGATCATTTCAGATCCTTCCCATAGTTTGTATTGAAGCATTAAATTCTGTCACAACAATAGACATTGTGAGCAATCTTGTAGCATTTGAGCCCCACAGAGAAAACATCATTTTATGTCGTGGTGCTTTTTCCTATAAGAGCTAGGTGCACTTGACTTGGAACATATAAGCACACATATATTACAAGATAAGGGGCCCAAGCATGATGGCAGGGCAAACAATTTAATCAGACTTATTTTTTCGCACTCCTACAATTGATGCTGACAGTGAGTAAATTGAAGAGAAATTCTGGAAACAAAGACACATACATATTTTAGTGAGGATATTTTAAATTTGTAAATGAAATGAACATTTAGTATCATACATACTTGGAGGACCAGGTATATAATGAGGAGATATGCAACAATTGCAAAGGTTAAGATGAGGTCAAATATGGCAGGCTTCACACTGAAAAAAAAAAAAGAAAGAAAAGGAGAGGGATCACATTATATTATCAATATAAAATATCAAAACTTAATGAAGAAAGATATGATAAGATCTTACCTATATACATTGACAATAGTTCTGACCGGATCATAGAAAGCAACCTCGGGGTCACGTCTATCAGGGACCATGTAAGTTACTTTGACACCCTTGAGATATCTGGAAAATAAAACCATTCCATTTTGATTACTTGTGGAAATGATGTAGCTAACATTTGCAAAATCCAAATCTGAATTTATGCTTACTTCGTCAGAGCATCTTTCAGTGCTCCTACCACCTGGTGGTTCTTGTGTGATACAACATGAGTAGCTCGGGTCATACTTGCTAGATAGTCAATCCACATTTGAAGGGAGTTTTCATCAACACCCTGAGGAGAAAAATTATAAAATAATTAGAGTAGTTTAAGTTTTTGAGATTAACCATTATGTTTATCCATATGATCTTTTACCTACCAACTGATCACTAAAGATTTTCCCTGAATTTAAGGCAAATATATGCTTTCCCAATGCCTCAGCAACAACCCGTGTATTACGAGCAAGACTTGATATATCAAGCTGATCCTTTGTATCTAAAATGGAGCTCCGGGCGAAGTCTTTGTGGCTCTGAAAGTACCAATAGTTAGGTTTGTAGTACATTGAACATTTCTTTGTTTAAAATAAAGTATGTTTCAGAAAATATGAAAGCGACCTCCCCCTGGGGATACCACCCCGTACCCTACCCGCCCTCTACACCCCCCACTGAAGGCGGCGACTTCAGCCTCTTCGCTGCAGGCATGGTTTGGGCAACAAAAGCAGCAAAAAGTGGAGGGGGAGGGCGACTTCAATCATCTTTTAAAAATGTACAGTCCCTATAAGTGAAGTATGATAAATTGTTACCTTAACAGTTGACAATGTTGCAGCAGGTAGTCTCTTCATGCTAAATCTTTCATGTTCCCAAGCTAGTGTTTCCTCGGCTAGATTAATCTTCTTGTGATTGAGCACAACAGCAGTTGTTGGTTCTTCTTGCTCAGCTGCAGTGTTCAAAGATTTTACTAAGCGATCTCCAACACTTCCTTCCTTTGGTGGTTTTGAGACATGGTAATAGATGGGTCCGGAACCAGCAATAGAGTCCAAGCAAAGAACGTAAGTACTATCCTGCGGGGAAAATTGCCAACAATGTTACAAATTTGTTTTAATTTCATATCCATAACTTTTGCATTTGCACACACACCTGAGGTAGAGCATTTTCACCATCAACTTGATCTTCAAGCCATTTCTTACTGCCCTGATAATTCATTTTACCCCCTCCAGTTAAAAGAAAGACCAAGTTGTACCGGGGGTGTGTACGGGTGTCAGAATAGAGTGATGACATAAGTCGTGCTAATTCCAAAAGCATTGCCACACCAGCAGCATTTGAATTGGCTCCATAAGATTCTCCCTGAAAAAGAACCAAAGTGTTATCAACACAAGTTAACTTGTCTTAAACGATTCTGTGCTTTCAAAAGCAAGATTTTCATACAGGAATCACAGCAAAACTGTCATAATGCGCTGTGACAACAACAGTTGGTAATTTGTCTTCATGGCCATTTCCAACCAGTTTTCCCTGCAAAGTAGAAAAAGGCTCAAATATAACACTATCCAAATAAAATTATAGGTCACATTTAACAAAAATGCAATAAATACAAATGTTGATGTAATATAAATGATTGTTGACTTATTACTTACATGAATATTGGCTATACTTATTTCAGAACGCACTGAAGGGTGGCCTGCTCCAACAACAATCTGGTATCCATTTGCTGAGATCTGATTGATCATTGCTGTAAAACCAAACAAAAGAGTAAGAGAGTAGCAATATAAGAATGCTGCCAAAGAGGGCAAACACCCAAAAGATATAAATACTTATAAAATTTACCCTCAGCAGCAGTTCCCTTTTGGTTTGAGGCTGGAGATATCTCGTCAATATCCTCCAAAATAGATTGAACCTCAGGCGTCCAGTGTGAAAAATATACTGGAATTTGGGTCTCTTGCTGCATCATAGCTGATTCCAAGGAAAGAATGTGCTGGAAGCAATAATAAAAGATAAGAAAATTATCATCATCACACAAGACAAAACAAAAGTAAAACTGTCAGAAACTGCTGAAACTCAAAGACCGTTACCTGCTTGGCAGTGTCTGATAATTTTGCCATTTCTTCTTGTTTTGGCAAAATCACAAGGAGTGCCCCAGCTCGAGTGCGTATGTCTCGATACAGATCCACAGTCAAATCTTCTATACGAGCTAAGACACAGTGACGTGAAGAAGACCAGCTACTCAAGCCTCTCCCATCCAAGCTTACAATAGAAGATCGGCAACCTGATGGAGCAAAAGATAAAATGACATAGATTGTTTAAAAGCAGGATGAAAACTTTATTTGACAAATTTATTCACTTAAAAGATAAATTGAAATTCACAAAGCACACGGATGACGCAGAAAATAACACATGGAAAGAGTTTTATGAAATTGAGGACAACATCTAATAAGCAGTTTAGTCAGCTGACGGAGAGTGCCCTAACCTTAAAAACTTGGTCACAGATTTCAATGAAAGCTGACTGAAATATTTAAGTACCATGCTGAGACGTACCGTGAGGAACACCGTGTAAGTCATACTGCTGCATTCTAAAAGCTGGAAACTCCTGAGCTCCTGCCACGGGGTTTACCGGTGAGATGATGATCATAAGGGGCAAGGCGATCAGCAAATAATACGGCACAACCATCTTAAATGCGTCGAGAATCTCGTCCGCGTTGCCGAATAACATTTTCGACAATTGCGGCGAGCGTTGGCTCGCTTTGGAATCTCTGTGCTACCAGGCAAAGGGGAAACTTTAATGTAATTAGAGCCAGAAGACCGACATGAAAAGCGGTCTGCTACGGGGTGAATCGTCTGCGTGTGTATGTGTGCGTGTGTGTGTGTTTAGCACATAATCATATTCGTATTGCGGTTGGCGGAAGTATGGCGAATTTCCTATTACGTCTCACAAGTGTAACAGGGCGATGAGATCGGTGCCGCTATATTTGAAACAACTCGCGTCACTGTTCGTTGGGTAGGATACTCGTATGTTTACGAGAAATAAATAAACAGAAGGTGCAAAACACATAGAGAGTATTTGTTTTAGGTTTATATTTTTAATCACAGTCGGTTAGGAATGAAGAGAAGAATGTCCATCTTCAGTAAACATGATAAGTGCTGAGAGATAATTCACAACCTACAGGCACATAAAAAATAAAAACATTTTAAAATTGGTGCCACCCTCAAAATTTAAAAGAAAATTTTCTTCTTAATATATGCATGTACGAATATTGGAATGCATGCAATAAAGGTTTTATTTGAGTGTGTCACATTATAAAGATTTTTAGAACTAACATACAATTTGAGATCTCTTATGACAGTTGGTACTGATTATTAAGTACTACATCAAGTGCAGGAAATATGTATGATTGCGCTGACAACTTAAATGAGCCCTTTTCCCACTCCCACTCCCTGGCATACAGACCCCACATACATAGTATTGAAGGGTATGTCTGAGATGAGTTAATCAGAAATTCAACTGTGGTGCCAGATCATTTTTGTTTTTGTGTGTGCTACTTTTCATAGATGATACACTTTTTAGTCATTTTAAATGAAGGATAGGATCACACTTGACTTTTTAAACATTATAAATCTAATTTTTTAAAAAGGTAAACGAGTGCGGGATGAAGAGTGTTGTAAATTTTTACCACCAATGACTGCCTGTTAAACTATCAGAGAAAATATAAGAGAATGGCAAAAGGAGAACGTTTTCCTCACAATTACTTGATTGACCTCTCATGACCCACGGGGTTACAATATTTTCACATGTGAGGTCACTGGTGCTGACAAAAAACGTCACAGTGATGACGATTTTGGGACAAAAACGTTTTCCCAGGGGGAGCAGATTGCCAATGACTGCTTATGACTAGCACTTTAACAGAATATACTTCATCTGGGACAAGTTTAGTAAATAAGGAATGTAGTTCAAAGACTGTACGAAACACACTTTTCTAAGACTAAGACTAGACAAAAGTTGGTAGCTTCAATAACTAAACAGAGAATCTGTATGACAAAGTTGTCATCATTATCTTTGTGGAAACAATACAAGAAAATAAATTAAGAGAATTCCCATGTGAAAATAAATCTATAGAGTATACTTGAGTTCTTTATAAGTACTTCTTCCAAAAATGCTTTAGGGTACTGACAGGATGACAAAGCCAAGTTGCACTCGTACAGGAATAGAGAGAGAACTAGGACGGGTCCATAGATAAGCTTGCAGTTTGTTTGTTTTTTTCGTTTTTGTTTGAAACAATTATTCTATTTTCACAGATTGAGGCTGATAAAAGTGTCCCTACAAGCTTCTTTTTCGAATTAGATATCTCTGACAAGGGGAGACTCTCCGAGTAGACACCCCCATACTACTCTTACAACTATTGTCCACTTGGGCTGGCCAGCAGCCACCTGTCCACGTCCGCAGGAAGAATTCCGGCTTCAAGCTGCTGTCCACTCTCCACGCTAACATAACACGTTCCCGGACTCTTGCAGCCAACTTCTGCTGCTGTCTGCACACAGTGGACATGTGCATCACTGATGTCCGCTGTCCCGCAGCAGCAGCTGCTGGCTGTCCGCGCGGGCACAGCTGTCCCAGAGCCGCGGCCCGTTCACCATCACTTGAAATGCAGCTCGCTGTCCTCAAGCGCAGGTGACCGTAGCAGCCGCGGCTGCTGCCCCGCACCTGCCGTCCTCACACAGACGATATGTCACCTCACAGCTGACACGGCAGCTGACACGTCAGCTGCCCCGCTAGCCGCGGCACTGCAGCTGGCTGTCCTCACACGGACGTGCCCGCAGCCGCGGCGGCAGCTGCCCCGCACCTGCCGCCCTCACACGGACGATGTCACCTCAGCTGCCCCGCCAGCTGCCCCTCCAGCTCGGCCCGCTCCCTTGCCACGGCCACAGCCGTTACGTCTGGCACCGGCTGCGGCGCCCCGAGCGAGGCCCGAAGCGTTTCCCCGCAGCTCGAACATACGGCCCCCATAGAGGCCAGGGCCGGCGCCGGGCCCGGCGGGCATCCCGGCGGGCAGCCCAGGGGCGGCGCCGGCTCCGGAGGGGATGCCAGGAGCGCTGCTGCTCCGTTGGGAGAGGCGAAAGCGATCGTTCTCGGGGAAGCGGACCCGGGGCCCCCCTGCGGGCTCCGCGAAGGTAACCTGCACCGAGGAGACGGATCCGTCGCCGCCCTTGAGCCGCCCTTGAGCGCGCTCTTGAGCGTGAGCTTGCGGTCCGCCGTCGTGGGCGTCGCTGAGAGAGCAGACAGAGGAATCGACACCTGCAACAGACACGTCGGCGGTCAGGGGGGTTGGCGCTGACAAGGGTCGGCAGGAGCACCGGCATGCAGCGGCGCTCTGTCGCGGGCCAGAGAGTTTCCCTCACACTTGCAGTCCCCACGGCCCCCTCGCCCTCGCTCACCCCAAGCTACGGCACTGAAACAAGACCACTAAGCCTCAGGTCAGCCGACCACCCAGCAGCTCGGCAGAGCTCGGCAGCGCGCCGTCCGCCCAGGTCGCCGCCGCTACTGTCAAAACACACACAAGCCTACCCATCAACACAGGGGCGGTACATGCAAGCTTCGCAAGAGGGGGCGGGACAAGGACAACGATCTGCAGCGGGGTGGCGGTCAACTACCTACGAGCCCTCCCCTGCAAAGCAGAAAGAACACATCGTGGATTCCAGGGACCCGCGCAGAGAAGCGTTAATGGTTGTTGCCTGCGCAGCCCAGCCCGACTGACCTTGTCTGAGGCAGCTCGTGGAGTGCACCTCGCTCCACTCGGTGGTGCAGGAGACCTGCAATGCAACACGCAAACACCTGCAATAACGTACAGACATTTCCCCCACGACATATCTCCTCCGGGCCGCTCGAACTGTCGCGCTGTCGAGGATACAAAATCTACAAGCTGCGGCAGCACTTCTGAGCATTCAAGTCATCAAAAGAAACAAGTACTCTGCGTCCTGACTAGTAGCGCCTTCAGTACTACTCTACAAATTGACCCACGGCAGGCTCAGTTTTCAAACATTCATTTTAGGACGAAGTATATTTTTTGTGGGGTGGGAGAAACAAAAGTGTACTCTGAAATATTTACTGCCAAGAAAGTAATAGCAAGCAAGTAATAAGTAGAGAATATTTTGTTCAACTATTTTCTGGACTGTCCGTACTAACTTGGGTACGGCTGAGCATACACCTGTTTCCTGTAGGACTATAAGGGGTCCATAGCGGAGAACGCCTGCAACGCGCGGCATAGGCCAACCCGCCAAGCAGCTGTGTGGAGCCGGCGGCCCAGCAGCGCCTCGCCTACCTCATTCGCAAGAGGACAGTGGGCCGTGAAACGTTTATCATAACGTTTCCACACACTTTGAGTGAACGTTACGTTCACTGTGGGGGTACCCGGGGGTACCCGGAGGTACCTGAGTATATGCCACAGTGAACAAGTTCGGAGGTGCCACCTTTCACATTCCCTGTATATTTCCAGTACCCTAGCACGGACGTACAGGTACAGCGTGCATTCTCAATAACATAAATATCCCGCTCTCAAATAAAATGATCATTGACAAATAAACGAATAAACAATCTTTTTTTTTTCTTAACTCCCTCCAGGGCACCGGATTGGGCCACCACCAACGTTCACCACTCCCCGTCGGCGCCTACCTCGGAGCCCTGCGAGCCTCTGCTTCCCCGGTGACACAGGACGTGGGCGGCGTGCTCGGAGGAGGAGCCCGTCGAGGCGGCCGCGGGGCCCCCAAGGCCGGCCCCGCCCGCGCCGGCCCCGCCGTCGTCGTCGCGCTCGCGCCGCCAGCTCACAAGCCGAAGCACTCCCAAAGCGCGCAGGCGGGCGTTCTTGGGCCGCTGGCTCTGGAACAGAACAGGCGTCCGCTTAGACATGCACTGCGTATAGCACGGCGTTGCACGGCGTAGCACGGCGTAGCACTGCGCAGGCGGGCCCGGGCTCACATCGCCTACGACGCCACCCCGCCCACTCCCCGTCACCTCCGCCGTTACCACACTTGTAAAGTGTCCAACTTAACTGTCCAACACTTGCAAGTGTTCAACCCCCTCTGTTGAACACTTTAAAAGCCAACTATAGCGCTTGCGAACACTCACAAGTGCGCAACATCACAGTACTCGGCCCACCTACTCATTGGGCTCCTTCACCATACACACTCCACAGTTCTACCATACCCCGTCCTTTCTTCCATGGAAAGGGAGAGAGAGAGATAGAGAGGGCCCCTTTACTTTCTATGATGGTCTCAGAGATCCGACGACTAGCGGAGGCCCTCTCTTTTCATGCAGCTCTGACGGCAGGGCTGAAGGGCCCGCTTTGCCTCACCTCACCTCACCCCGCCCCACCCAACCTCGCC